CAAAAACAGTGAGTATCTCAGGTTGGCCAAATGACTCAACAAGCCAGATGGGCTCTGTTTTTCAGTCACTTTCAGTTCACTCTCTCCTATCCTGACCTCATTTCCTGGTCCCATAGGGATCACCCTGACCAGCCCCTTGAGGGGGGAGTACCGTCATGGTCTCTGTCATCACTTCTGGTCTTGAGCTTTTATTTTGTATGCTTTCCACCCTGTGTGTAGTTGTGAGCTACAGCTTTAGCATCGTCAGCCACAAATATTTTCACCTGTCAATTGTTACCTGGGGTTTATTTAACCTGTCTGTTCCTCTCAGTTGTTGCCAGATAGTCTCTTGTGATTCTAGGAACTCTCCATCCGGCTTACCTGATTCTTGTGAACCTTGATGCTGACCTGTTGTGTGTCTCATCATTTAGCTCCATGTAAAGCCGACCTGTGTGTATGTGTGTTTTCTCTCAGTTACCCATACTCACCTCTCTGCCGCCAACTGAAGAGAAGCTGTTTCACTCACCTTACACCAGTCGTCCGTGAGCCTATTGTATGGCCTGCCATCTTCTACTCCCACCGCCATCTTACCTGCCTGGCTCCAGCTGGTCACCATCTTACCTGACTGCGCTCCATCACTGCTGGCCCTCTGGCACCCGTTCACCATCATTCACCTGCAAGATAAGAAGAGATCACAAATGTGAGTTTACCTGGTATCTCACCATCACACCCTGTTCATTGAAATTCTTACTCCTTGTGGTCAGTTTTGCAATTAACACCTTTTTTATATCACCACCTGCCTGTGTTTTTGCATTTGGGTCCAAAGATAACACCTGTTCTGACAGGCTCAGTCCAAGTGGCAACCTCCAAGGCTGAGAAATGAAGCCAATGTGGAAGTGCCCAAACCTGCAGTCCCGCGAATAGCCACTTGTGGCAGGCTCCAGAAAAGAATCAGTCACCATAGACTCCCATGTTAAAATGCCCAAATGTTACAGCAAAAATAAACATGTTTATAGCCTGGTACAAAAAACGGATTTTGGTCTTTTTGCTAATTTCCCCTTCTCCCTGTACGGGGGATGAATTTTTAAAATAACTTTCCAATTTAAATTCTCTTGAGACTAAAAACTCTGCATTAAGGGCATAGCCATTCTGAGTGACAGGTGGGAGAGAGGCCACTGGTGGCTGGTCACTAGCTGTCTTTGCCCATTTTTATATTAAAGGTAGCAACGGAGTGAAGCACTACTAATACGGTGACAGACAGACTTGTGCTTCAGTACTGCTCTTCAGAAAACCAATGAGTGATGGCATAGCGAGTTTGTCCAGCTCTTATATATAGTCAGTGGGTCAGTCCCACAAACACTCATTATAGTGCCAAATGTGGATTAAACCCACCACTGAAAATAAACCCCCCGAAATGGAGTTTCCTCCTGTTTTAGTCAAGTCAAGAATCTTTATTTGTCATTATGCCTAGCACAACGAATTTTTTTCCGGCAGCTCTCAGCTTAAAAGACAGACATATTATTTACCTAACACACAATTGTATAAGTCAATATAAAAATATGACCAAATAAAAAGGGACGCATGGGACCTAATCAGGTCAGCAGCATGTTAGCAGCAAGAGTATAGTAACATTATAAGGTGCAGCTCAGTGCAAATCTCAGTCTTTAGGAAGAGGTGTGAGGTCCAGTGTTCTGTGTCTGTCCATAGGGGGGAGGTTGTGTGTGTGACCAGCTGTTAGGGGGGTGATTGATTTCACAGCTCTGGGGAAGAAGCTGTGTCTCAGTCTGTTTGTTTTAGTCTTTATACTCCTGTACCTTTCCCTGGAGGGAAGAGGCACAAACAGACTGTTGCCTGGGTGGGTGGGGTGTGCAGCAATCCGTCTGGCCCTCCTTCGGATCTGGTCAGTGTATAGTGAGTCCAGATCCAGAAGAGGACTCCCTACGATGCCCTGAGCTGTTCTCACCACCCGGGTCAAGTCCTTTCTGTCCTGTGCAGTGCAGCTCACGTACCACACTGTCGCACTGAGACAGAGGATGCTCTCTACTGTCGCTCTGTAGAAGTTTGCGAGCAAGAGCAGAGGCACACAGGGACTGAAGCAAGATGCAGGGACAGGTTAAAAATGTCCAATAAAACTCCTGCCAGCTGGTCAGCACATAGCTTCAGAACCCAGCCTGACACCCTGTCTGGTCCTGCAGCTTTGTTGGTGTTGGTCCTCCTCAGGGTGGAGCTCACCTGGTGTAGCTGCAGGACGAGAGGCTGGTGCTGTTCCTCGAGCTGAGGGAGTTTTACAGTTCCTCTGCTGCCAGGTGCATCCCGAGCTTTGAGCAGACGTGACACTGTACTGTCCAACCATGGTTTCTGATTTGGAAAAACCCTGATGGACTTTGTAGGTAGGACAGCATCAGTACAGAACTGCACATAGTCCAGAACACCTGATGCACAAGCTTCCAAGTCTGAGCCCTCTTTGAACACCCCCAATCAGTATGCTCAAAACAGCCCTGTAATGCTGAAGAAGCCTCCTCCGTCCACACCTTAACTGTTTTGGTGATTGGTTTTGTCCTGCAGATCAGATGTTTATATGCTGGGATCAGCTCCACAGAGATGTGATCTGACATGCTCAGGTCTGGAGCTGCTATGGCCTTGCATGCTCCCCGGATATTGCAATAAACCTGATCCAGGATGTTATTGTCCCTGGTTGGAAAATTGATGAATCTGTAGAATCTGGGAAACACTGTTTTAAGTCAATGGTTAAAGTCTCCAGCCACAATCACAGCTGTTTCTGGGTTTGCGTTCATCTGCCTGCTGATCAGGCAGTACAGCTCCTCCAGCGCTAATTTAGCGTTAGCTCGCGGTGGTATATAGATGGCTACAATCAGGATTGAGCAAATCTCTCTCACCATTTTAAAAGGTCTGCATTTCACTGCCAGATATTGCAAGTCAGGGGAGCAATGTGTTCCAATGATGGTCGTAGCTGTGCACCAGAAGTTGTGGATGTACAGCATCAGACCTCAGAAAACTGTAGTGACAACAAAAACACAAACAAAGATACGAATAGAAAAGCAAAAAACTGAGAGCCCCGAGCCACTGCGTATGTACGTGCCGCCATCTTGGGTCCCGAAGTTTAGTAATGTTTAGTTTTAGTAATGTTTGCCAAAAACTACAGTGATTTGCTGTAGGTAGTTTGGTTATTTGCTGAGACTTAAAAAAATGTATAAACTAAGCTATATAATTGAAACTATTTTTTTAAGATAGATGTCCTCAGTAGGAAGTAAACTGATGGTTTGGCGTTTTTCAATGGATTTTAAGACATTAAGAAAAATACAGACACCAGCCTTATCTTTTTTTTTTTTAAAAAAGACACAAAAGGAAACTTACACTAGGGTGACAGTAGAGAAAGTGTTGCCTGTTTTCTCTTAGAAGGGCTTTGTCACATGGCAGCAACATACTATGGAAAGGTTTTGCTTGTTAAAAATAATGAAGCTCTGGAGCCACATGCAGCCCTTCTGGTGTATTGAGAACTAGAAAGATATGTTTGCACTGAGTAGGGACCACTTAGGAACTTGCCAGAACTTGCAGACGCATCAAAAAGATTACTCAGGTATCAAGTAACCACCTCAATGTGAGGGACAAGGAGCAATGGGAACACTGAAAGAAGGTTTTTCAGTCAGGTTAGGTATTAAAACCTTTAGAAACACGGACTTTGTACTTGAAATGTCAGCCTATACAGTAATTGTAATTGATAAGGCCCAACTTTTACCTTTACCTAGAGCCAAAAGAAATGTTTGGATCAGGTCTATGGTTGTCTGGATTGCAAAGTAACAATTTGCCAATATACTTTAGAAGCAGGCACTAGACATAGAGATAGACGATTTGCTTCCTTTAAGGAAAAGTCCTACATTCAAAATGTTAAGTACAAAGTATTAGCATCAAAACATACTTAAATTACTATAAGTACTCATTAACCAGAATAGTACATTTGAAATTAATGCATATTATATTTATGGTGTATTATTGTTGCAGCTGGTAAGGGAGAGCTAGTTGTAAGGAGCTTATAATTTGAAGTACTTTCACAAGCTATCCAGCCGCGTGTTATTTTCCACCAGAGATCAGTAGTCTTATGATTATAATGTAATTTTTGTAATAATCTCATTCTGAAAAGTAACTAAAGTTATAAAATGTGGAGTTAAAAGTAGAATATTTGCCTCTGAAATGTAGTGAAGTCAAATATGAAATACCAGAAAATAAAAATGGTCAAGTACAAATGCTTCAAAATTGTACTAAAGTGCAGTACTTGAGTAAATGTACTTAGTTACTTTCTATCACTGCCAGCATGAAATAGAGCATTACAGTCCTGTCACAAGTGAACCCAATGGAAACAGGCCTGAATATAAACTGTGTTTTAGTATGTTATAACCCCTCACTACCTCACCAAGCGTAATGACATATCCAACTCCACCATGTGAATTACTAAGTGTGATGTTTGAAGTTCACTGGGGAAAATACTATTACCCTGTTTTTGTGTATTGTGGTTTTAATGCTTTGTCACCTTTATGTAACTTTTTATTTTAAGACTGAGTGTTCTTTCTAGCTTTGGACTCATTACCTGACTCCAAAGGAGAGCTGCACAAAAATTCCTATATGCCTAGACTGTCTGTCTATGCATAAATGGAAAATAAAAATCTTGGCTTGACTTGAGACAGGGACCTGAACACCCAGGAGAGGGAACAATAACAGCATTATGAGGGGAAAACAATTACAATAGGGACCTCTGCTGGACTGTCAAGGAATCGCAAGACCTCAGAAAAAAACGAGACAACGCGAGGAAACAGATGTAACTTGGTTACAGTGTGCCCATAATCAGTCTAAAATTCTAAAAGTCTAAAAGATTATTATTATTTTGAGTGGCTGACATGTAACAACTTTTTCACAGGGTACAAAGTGAAATCCACTGTCAAATGAAATGTTTTATTTTTATATATGCACATGGATAATGGAACAAGCCTTTTAATTGGTGTCTCAATCAGTTGGCAGGCACTACAGTTTGGTACATCAGCCTCGACTGACTGTGAGAGTCAGGGAAGAGTTAAAAAAAGAGAAGAAAGCAAAGATCACACTACCTCTTCTCTCGCCATACTTCTCTGTTACACAAATTAGTCTCTAAAATCATGCAGCTCATGTAGCGATCATTACAAATAACGTCTACACTGATAAATGCATTTAAAAAAATTCCGTATTGGTTTCAGCTGTAACAGAATGTACTGCAACACATTCCTATGATTCGGTTGTTAACAATGTCGATACTATAGTATAAACAAGATACTACACGTTTGACAACTCAGGTTTTCATAGTGTTCAGGTGGGAAGTCCGACATACCGTGAACACATCGAAGGAAACACATTCTGCTTCGTCATTACGCACATGGACGTAACTCGTTTGTCCAATCAGGTGAAGACCTGGAGCTCAGGAAAGAAGCAGATGATATGGCAGCTTTGAGAGCGACCAGGTGGAACTTGCTTTGTTAACACGGCTGATCATTAAACACACCGACTCAGAGGCAGCGTGAGGGCAGCTGCTCGAAATGATTTACTTAATATTGATTTCCGCGTTCTCTGGAGCAGTCGTTACGTTGATAGTGCAGTTTTTGTTGATATACCGGAGAAGCCCCGAGCCCACAGGCAGGACAGTGCAGTATGTCAAAGTAGTGCCTGATAACGCCTTGAAGGATTACTTTAATACCCACCACGTCGAACCAGGCCAGCAGCAGGAGGAAAGCACAGCATCTGCTGCATCTAAACAGCAAGAGGCCGCCTCCACAAGGCAGCAGGAAGCGGCTGTCACCCAACAGCCGCCACCGCCTTGTCAAAGCGACCCCAGTGATGCGGCCAAACCCGAGACATGCAATTTCCTAAATGCTATATTTTTGTTCCTCTTCAGAGAGCTCCGAGACACCCCCCTCGTTAGACACTGGCTCACCAAGAAGATCAAGGTGGAGTTTGAGGAGCTGCTGCTGACCAAGACAGCAGGTCGGCTGTTGGAAGGCCTCAGTCTTAGGGACATATCCTTAGGCAATTCTTTGCCGGTCTTTAAAACGGCCAAACTTATGAAGCCGATGCATTTGAACGAGGACGGTATGCCGGAGGAACTCAACTTCGAGGTGGACCTCGAATACAACGGGGGCTTCCACCTCGCTATCGACGTCGAGCTGGTGTTTGGGAAGTCTGCCTACCTGTTCGTTAAGATGAGGCGCGTGGTGGGCAGGCTGAGGCTGCAGTTCACGCGCATGCCCTTCTCCCATTGGTCCTTCTCCTTCCTCGAGGATCCGCTGGTGGATTTCGAGGTGAAGTCCCAGTTTGAGGGGAGACCGCTGCCTCAGCTCACCTCCATCATAGTCAACCAGTTGAAGCGGGTTATCAAAAGGAAGCACACGTTACCTAACTACAAAATCAGGTAGGCTCACAGTTTACCATGTCAGACTACAGCAGCTCAGGGCTGAAGAAACCACTCAGCAGACAGGAAAACCAGCTACAGCACTAAAGCTGTAAAACACCAGCCTGAGCTACTGGCCACAATGAAGTTATGTCCATAACACACTGTCAGATAGGAGAAAGGAATCAAATACGTGTCATAATTCCATACTGTATACCTATACTTGGGCTGTAGTACTACACATGACTGCTGTATTTGCATCATACAAAAATACATTTATGAATCGTTTTTTGCTAACAAAGTGCCAAAATGGCCTGCAAAATATGAAATGGCTGATCCTTTAATGTGGAACAAAGGCTACCCAAATAGATTCCCAGGAATATAAACTGGTACCTGCTTTTTCTATCAACCACTCCACTTGTGGTAATGATATCAATTAATTAATTAAAAAAAACAAGAGCAAGTGGTCACCATTAGAAGTGCATCTCTTCCAAGCAAACAACTGAAAACGCAGAATTAGTCAATGGCAATGCAGCTGTGACATAATGGTTTTTCAGCCATGTCAGCTTGTAGCTGCTACTGGTGTGTGAGGATAATAACCTGGGTAGTCGAATCTGTTTGTGTTCCGGTGTGATATTTTCTGGCAAAACTGTTTGACCATAAGCCGCACTCAGCAGCTATTCTGGACAACAGTCTTATTGCCCAGCTGATATGGAACCTAGACTTTCCAATATTAAATCGAAAGCTCATTCTGAGTCACAATAAGTTCCTCTAGAACACTGTCAGGTTGTGACGTTGCCATTTGTTTTGTGATTTTCTAGCAGTGAACAATGGAATGATATGAGACACCTGTCTTCTCTATCACTTGTTAATGTATAACAAAACATATGGAGCCACGTTGGTGTAGCCTGATGTTCCGATGACCATGTGGTCATAAAACAGTGCTCGACTGAGTCTTTTGAGCTGCAGTAAGCTGAATTCCACTTAAGTAGTGAGTAACCTTCCTGTTCTCCATCCATTCATGGAGAAAGGTTACACAACAGCCAACTTTAAAACCAGTGTGTCTGAACCAAATGCAGCTTGACGGAGCAATTCCATGTAGTTGGATTTAGTTCATTCTATACCTAGACAATAAGAGGAGCAGGAGATCACACTCCACATTCTGATATAGGAGTGACTTCAACCTGTTATGAAAGGTTGTGTTGAGTTTGTGGGTGTAGGTAAGGAGGGTAAAGGGGGCAGCTGTAGGAAGTAGAGCGGGTCGTTTCCTAGCTGGAGGATGAGCGGTTCGATTCCCGGCTTGTCCAGTCAACATGTCAAAGTGTCCTTGACACTGAACCCCATTTGCTCCCAATGGCCAGAGCAGTGCTTTGCATCGGTGTGTGTTTGAGTTGATGCCACAGATGGCTGCCTCGGTTCTGTACCGGAGAAAAATACCTTGTGTGTATCATGTACTTGGCTAATAAAAGTTATTATCATTATTATTAAGAAGTAGTCAGGGATGCTGGATTATACTGTTGAGCCTTCTTGGTGTCATGGGTCCAACTCAATAAAACACCAGCTTTTGAAAGTACATCCACCTGATGACCCTGCAGACTGACTACACTCACATTCACACATAAACTTATCTTGGACACCTTGTTACTCTAGTTGGTCAGACAGGTAAAGGCCATAATTGATTCATAATTCAGTCGGGCTAGCCACCGTAGCTTAACCTGAGCAGATATAAGGCTGGGCCTTGCTTCCAAGTATCTGCTCTTTGCTTGGATGAAGAACTCTTTGAATGAGTACTAGGTCAAGAGTGTAACCATTTTCTGATGTAACTTACTGCTGGACTACAGAGGAGGCCATGACATTCAGATCAAGCCAGTGGGGCCAGCCATGGCAGTTTAGCCCAAACAGATAGACTACTCTGTTTGGATGTAGGAGTTACAAGCAGTGATGGGTAAAAGCTTCATTTAACTTAAATACTGAGTTTCCATTGAAATGCCCAACATTTGGCACATTCAGCTGTGTTTTACATTTGCATTTAACTTGCAAATTTTCTCCCAATTTGGAGTGTTATGGTCCCTGTTACTGTGGTGGTTTGATTGATTTAGCTGTTTTTGCTGGTGCATGGTGTCTGTCTTCCAACAAAAAGCATATAATTGTATAGTTGGTGTTTCTGGAAAAGCCAGAAATTAGTCAACCGAAGAAAATCTACCCTTTCATTGTGACTGCTCTCCAAAACCACTCCTCCAAATTACAATTCACACTGCACAGAATATCTTTTGCAATGTCAAACATGTTGGATTTGTTTTTGAATTGGCCTTCTCCTCCTGTCCACAGCTTGTTACGAAACACATTCCTGCCATTGGTTAATGTGGGTAGCGTGTCTGTGTTTCCTAATTTCCTGCCTGTGCACTTACCATTTTCATAACATGTACATCAAGCTGCCTTTTTACATAGCAGCAGCCTGTCAACTCTCTGCCGGCAGGTGTGTCTGGATGAAAATGGGATGTGTCCAGGTAAATTTGGTAATATGATGCACAAAGTGACTGCACCACTGACCAGCAACAACCAGGTCTGTGGTCAACAGTCACATCATCATTGCTAGTTAATGGGTGCTTTGACCATGTTGTGATGTCTAGTGCACAAGCACTGTGCATGTTATACCTTGGGACCCTGTGCAGGACATGTAAAAAATAAAGATGCCATTGTGTTCATATATATTGCACATCAATATAAATGTGTTTATAATAAAAACCATTTTGATTAGTGATCGTGCGCCTTGACCTCGCACATGAGCAGATCTGTTTCCTCAGTGGAAAATCTTACTGACATCTGACCTGGCAAGTCCACCAAACATTCAAACTCACATGTCTGTTGGAGTGGATGTGAGGTTACACACTGATTGGTTAATTGCATGTTACACCCAAAACACACCCCTGCTTTGATGAGATCAAATACAGCCCTTTTGCTAATTGCACAGGTCCTGGAACTGTTTTTCCTCCTCGTCAGATTACTGAAATAAACATGGACACACCCAAACACCACTTGTGCCAATACATTGTGCATTCTCAAAATAGGGCCCATGGTCTTCGTTTGTGACCAAAAGCTGCTATGGGCACCTTTGTTGCCATGGCTCTTTAGCTTTAGCCATAAAATAAAGTGACAACATGTCTGCCTACATGGCGTTGTAGGAGAGCCTTGATTCATCCACTGACTGCAAGGATAGAGTGCGTGCAAGTGGGAAGTTATGGTGGCAGCCTGGTAGGCCGTCCAGTGGTTTTACTTTTTTCTGGCCTCTGCTGCCACCGATAACAGATTTATTTTTTCCTTTATGTGCATTTAATGTCTTCATTGCCATCAGGATGAAAAGAGAAATTCAATAAATGTAACAAAAAATGCTTCTGAAATGATTTGCCAATGCTGTCTTTAATGTAAGGACCAAAAAGCTTTGGTTAGGCTCTGTAGCGCTTTCATCTGTTTTGTTTCAGTCTCTACATGCCTTCTAGCAAAGACTTTGACAAGATGTCGTGTGAGATTTTTTTTTTCCCAAATACTGCCTTTCTCTTCGCCTCTCATCTATAAAGCCAAGACTGGTGAAGTGCATGTTGTCTGCCATGTAAACCATGGTATGCCAGAGCTCCTTAAGCCTACAGGCTTCATGCTGGCCATGCTGGGCTGCCTTATTGGTACTCTTCTCACACACACACATACACATACATCACACACACAGTGTTTCAGGAAGGCCTGCTCTAGCATATGTACAGCTGTGCTGTATTCTTGACTGTGCAGAGGGATATTCAGTGCCTTGGAGTTGGTCTCTTGGAACAGTATCTTGGCCCTGATTTGTAATTTTTACTATCCTTGTCTCAGATTGTGGCTTCCACATATAAGAATGTTTAACACACGGATGATCGCTATCTGAATGTTCCTGAGTCCACTGATGGTTACATAGGTTACATAGGATAGGTACATCATTGACAAAGGGTGCATGCAATCAAAGTGCTATATTATATTGGCATTTTACATTTGTACTTTGTAAATAAACGTAGAGAAGTTAGTTTTCTTTGGACTTTTATTTATCAGAGTAAAAAACAATGCAAATGCAGCCGCTATCTTTCAAAGTTGTACCACAGTAAGTATGAACAGTACAAAGGGAGCAGAGGCGAAAGGCTGACTGTTTATTGTTTTCCACCTGTTTATTACAGAGCAGTCATATTGTTTCACCCCTCTTCTTGTTCAGGTGATTACATCATAGCATGGCTGGGCCTCTGTTTGAAACACCAACCTCAATTTACATTAGGGCAGGATATTGATACCGATCAATTTCAGTTCTACTGATTTCATGATTCATTTACATTCAGTGTGTGTGTGTGTGTGTGTGTGTGTGTGTGTGTGTGTGCGTGTGTGTGTGGTGGTAATAGGAACATTGGGGGCTGTGACCCCCAAACTGGGAGAGTGACTCCAACAGATCCCAGGAACATCTGAGATCTTTGTCCAGAAGAGTGCAGTCCTAGGAACAGCTAAGATAGTGGGCAGGACCCTCAAGCTCCCAGGCCTCTGGTAGAGGACCTGAGTTTGAAGGAAGGCATACAAGACTGCCCCAAAGTGGGGGGCAAGTGGGGGATTTTTTAGATATGAGATCATCATATTGAAATGGAGTGCTGCACAGTAATTGGTTTATCTCAACAATTTTGTTTTCATAAACTGCCAGAAGCCAGCCCTACAAGAGTGTCATCATTATGCATAATAAAAAAAAAAAAAAAGCTCTTCCATACAACTAAGATGGAGGGATTCTTCGTGTCAGGTGAGGCTGCTTGTGTGTACCGTAAAACTACAAGAGTTTGACTCTTCCATCATAGACATGACTTATGAGCAGTTGCTGTGTTAAATCAAATTCTTAAAAAGAATTTGGTACAACAGTAGCTTATGAGTCAGGAGAGGCTAAAAGGATTTGCTGTTCACTCCTTGCAGACCTCAAGATCCACGAAGTTGGGTTTAGGAGTGCAAAAGCTTGTTAAATGCTGTTCAAG